CCACGACATTCTAATTTATTGAGATGCACCTGTATATAGTATTTTCCTCCCACACCGCAAAATGTGACATAATGGACTAAGAAGATAAAGACAAAACTCAATGCTCTTCATTATTAAAATATTAAAATAACCCTAACCCAGATTCAAACAAAAAGTAATCAATAAATAGAACAAAATAAAAAAGAAGTGCAAGTGTCTGAGAGTGCAAGTTTTTACTGTTAGCTGGGCTGTTACACTTACACCATAATCACGAGAAGAATGAATGTGTTAAGTAACAGGAGAGATTTGCTTTATTATTAGAAAAAGTTAGGAAAATGTTCTTCATAGGACAAGAAAATATATTTCCAATCTTAAAATACGGATACAAAATGTATTTTTTTAATATATTTTGGACAACATAAATATAATCACATTGAAAATATCTATAAAAAATAGAGAAAAAAATAAACTTAAAACTATATGAGCAATATCACTCGAGTAGGAGAGCGATATTGAGTTTATACAACAGTTCGATGGAACATGTGTTTAATTAAACAAGAAACAACGGAGTGCCTGGTAAAACCCTCTTTTGTGCGGAACTACTTCCTTCCGCCTACGTCACGGATTCAAAGCTCAAGTTGACAGTTAAACATACGTCACTTTTAGAATTCATATCAAGGGCATGTGCTGCTTCAGTTAGGTTATTAGTGAGAAATAATGAGGTTATAAGAGAGAAACAATGCGGCAAGATGTGCATCCAAATGAGAGAGAGAGACCGCGAAGCTAGACATTTCTTCTTATATTAACTAATGTACTCTACGATTAGCTTAGTGAATAATAATAATAAAAAAACATAGACCCGGCTAGAACAAGCGGAGTGATACAAACTTGTGAAAGGGCGTTCCTGTAGCGATACCAGGGCTGAAACGGTGCAAAACATTTTTTAAACGGAAACGGTGGTGCGTTGAACACCCTGTTCTGATGACGCAAGAGTTGCACCTATGGCAGCTGAGAAGGCCATTCTTTGTGTTCTTTTTGAAGAATTTTCGGAGCCTGATGAAATCGGTATAAATACATGTTTAATGTCTCGATGTTACAGTCACTGCCCTTGCCCTCCAGAATAAAGGAGAACATCCCAATTGAGTTAAGGGATTTGTGGAAACTGTGGTTCCTAATTATAGTGACCCAACATTTCACTCGCATTTCCACTTCTTACCTCCAAGACTGTGTTATGATCTATATTACCTTATTAT